CAAGCTGTCAGAGGGGAGTGACCCACAAAGACACAGGTGTTTGTGAGGATCCTGTCCCCCAGCAGAAAGCCTACTCTTGGAGCCACGGACAGGGTTCTGGCCTCGTGAGCCACTCAACTCTAATTGAAAGCCTAAACTGGGGACCCCGAACATTGCTGAATGACTTTCTGAGTCAACTTGGCCAGAGGGGCCTGATTTTTCTTTCCAGGAATGGATGTAGTGCAGCCTCCATTTTCAGGGCTGACATTCATGATGGATCTAGCTTCCCCAACTGCACCCCAGGAAGGAGAGGCCCTTCCATCCCACTGGCTAGAAACCCATCCCAGGGGAGTTCCGAAGCACCACATCGCTGTCAGGTCCAGCATCCCTACAGAGTGGCCCCTCCCCCTGATTGAGCCCCTTCCCTGGGCCTTCCCTGCCCTGGCATGACAACACCCCAGGTGGTGCTGGGGAAGGCAGGGAGTGCAGTGACGTGTGGGGGGAGCAGAGCCCCTTGCTCTGGAGTGAGGGTTCTTGGGGAGACCACAGAGCAAGGCACACACCACCACCACCCTATAACCCAAACTCTTAGCCCAGCCAACACAGGCGCCCCTCTGCGCTCTCTCACCTTGTCTCTCCTCTGAGACTGCACCCAATCCGGCATCTGGCACCCCAGCCCTACCTCCCCTCTTATGACAGATCCCTTCTTCATGGAAACTGCCTAGCAGCGCGTATTCAAGGCCGGCAGCGGGCCTGGCGGATCTGCATTTCAGGTGCCCTAACTGGCCAGCCGTGCGTGCCTGGGCTCAGTCCTCTATCTTGCCCACTGGCAGCCTGGGTCCACGTCCGGTGCAAGGGGAGGCCGCGGAGCCCAGGCTAATCACCACACACAGACAGGTGAGGGTACCCCTGCCCCGCTGCCCGGCTGCCCCGCTGCCCCGCTGCCCATCTGCCCCGCTGCATCGCTGCCCCTTGCCCCGCCCACTGGTGGCAGCACCGCCCCAGCCTCCGGCCGGCACCACCTGCAGGTGAGGATGTCCGCGCGGCCCCGCCCTCCCCGGCCCCGCCCAGCTGTCCCATAAGCCTCCCCCCACCCCCGTGCTGGCCGTGCCCTGGCTCCCATTGGCCCCACAAGTTCTACCCTCGCACATCTAGACTAGGGAGGACGCACGACGCAAGCGATAGGGGAGGGCCCTGCGGCGTTGCCATGGTTACAGGTGCCGCGCTCCGCACGGGCCACAGTGCGCTTCTGGGGCGGGGAGCGGGCTCCGGAAGTGTGTAGCTGCCAGGGACCATGGCGGTGCTTGCTGCTGGGCTTGGCGGCTTGCTTGGCCCGGCGACTAGTTCTGACCTGGTCAGTAGGCGGCCGACATCCTGTCTGGGGCGGCGTCCCACAGAAGGTAAACGTACGTCCGCCTCGTCGGCGGGGCCGGTGGACATGAACCGTGGTGGGATCTGGGTTGGGGTGGTGGCCGGGGAGGGCTATGGTGCCGGGGAGCGTTTTGGGGCGGGGCGGTGCAGGGCTTGGGCACAGCCTCAAGCTTTCCTCCCCCTCAGGCCCTGGGGCTGGGGCCACGAGTCTGGGTCTCCCTTGGTGGCCGCGGCCTCCCAGAACCCCCCGGGAAGGGCAGGCAGAGAACCCATCTTAGATGAAGCGGGGCCTTACCCGGGTTTTGAAGAGCCCCAGAATCAGATGTTGGAATGGGGTGGTTTATCAGCCTTGTTTATCTGCAGGGAAATTTCAGTTCATTCCAGATGTTGGTTCCTTCAGTCAACCTCAGGAATAAGACACAAGGGTCAGTGCCGATAAGCAGTTATCTAGGGCTTAACTCAAAATAAACTATGCGGGGTGTAGGGATGGTAGATGGGAACCTCTCTCTTGAAGTTAGCAGTCTTATGGGATTAGAGGCCCTGGCTGAGGATTACATCCTCATCTGCAGTAATGGAGGCTGTGAGAAACACACAGAGAAGGGAGGGGTGTGGTGGCGGTAACTCATTACAGAATCCAGGACCCTTGCCTGGCTCTAGTGTAGAAGAGTCTCACCTAGGATAAGGCAGCAGTTATCAAAGTGTATCCAAGGCCCCTGAAGTGCAGGACCATTTTCATAGAAACGCCGGGATGTCTTCTGCCTTTTGCACACTCTTGCTCTCCCGAGTCCCTGTGGGG